AATGTATTATGCGGCTTCGAACACTTGAAGCAATATTTCGCAAAGCACTTTTTATTTTCGTGCTGACGTAAACAAATCTTACATAATTTTAATTCAGTTACTTTATTTATTCTCTCTTTTATCGGTAAAGCAATTAACGTTGGACATTTATAGATAGTGTGCGGCAACTGACACACGTAACACTTTAAACCCGCACTTATCATTAAAGACGAAAATTGATTATTATATTTGTTCGATTTGCCTTGCCCTGTCGATCCGTTACTAATAGCACCTCGCGTACTACTATGTACGTTTTTCGCTGATTCGATGGCTTCTAATATTTTAAATCGATTTTCCAGAAATTGCATTATCTCTGAAACTTCAGCAATCCTGTTTTTAGGGCTGCCCGCCTCCCACTCTTGTAACGTTTTTTTGTCTAATTTGGTACTAATTAAGTGCATTAATAACGGCCCCCAACTTTCCGGTTCTTGCTCTAACGCCTCTAGAGCTCGCATGTGACCTGACAACGCATCGAAAAAATACCTAAGTTTTATTGCCGAGTCACTCTGCAGCGCATCCAAATCAAATATTGCCCGCACATGAGCTTGAATTCGCACTTTTTTATTATTATACCTAGCACACAGAATGCTCCACGCTTTTTCATAATTATTTGCTGTGGTCTCCAAACTTCTTATCGAGTTCAACGCCTCGCCTGATAGCGCTTCGCGCAAATGAAAAAACTTCGATACGGGCAATAGGTCCGGGTGTGTATGTACCAATGCCGTAAATGTATCATAAAACGACGCCCATTCTAAATAATCCCCATTAAAAACAGGTACTTTTAATGCTGCTAATTTCACTTGAGGCGCCATACTGTTTCTCCCTGTACTTCTTTCGCTCGCTATCGCCATACTTCCTCGTTCAGAGGTAGTCTCTTTTACCATTCCTAGTGATACAATTTTATTTGCTTCTACTATAGCCTTAAAGTATAGATCTTCGAACTCCTTACGATACGCCGTGCTTTCGTTTAAATTCTCCGTCAATTCAAGTGCCGTTTGAATTTGGTCAAATTCATGCCAAACTTCTTCGATTTTTTCCCTTCTTAATGATACTTGATTTGGATCCAATTCTTCACTTTGTAGGTAAGTCAAGAATCTCGTAACCGTGCCTTTTAATTGGCCGCGTCTTATCGTGAGATTTCTCTCGTCAGCCGCCATATCAATTATTCTCGCGTTACTATTTCGGCTGAATATAATATATATTATATCTCACTTATTACGTTAAACCTGTTGGCTGTTATCTGCGTTTATTCGACCTGCTTCACATACTACGTACAAGTTTTTTTTTTTTTTTTTTTTACTCACTAGGGGAAACCCAAGGAAATTTTACACAGGAATTATTTTTAATCAGAGACTCTTACCTTTATGCCAGACGTTGTAAGACAATTTTTCTCGAGAGGCCCAGCTATTGCTCGGGAAATTCGATCGTCGCTGAGGTTATTGATTTGCCCCTTTTTCGCCATACACCATATAAGCTGTAGTACTGTACTTGCCAGCTGCCTGCACGCCCCTATGGATGTATTGTATATTGTTTTCTTGATTTTCGAAATATACGAATATCCGATCTATTTTGATCGCAAAAGCCACGTAACAATTTTACCACGCATATGCGACGCACAATTTTATTTAATCCGCAGTTACTTTGTAACTTTAACTCTCGCACTATACTCGATTAACGCCTCAATACGAATTACGCTTTCCTAATCAACACTGAATATCCGGGTCGATGGACCAAATGTTGCGGAGTGGACTGTAACTTTCCGATACTGGTTACTTCGGATACTCAGCTGGTTGATTAGGGTATTATTTTCAATTAATAACTTATACGCAATTGAGCAAATAGAATATTAAATTATTTTATTTTCACTATAATACGGAGCCGACATGTCCCGTTCGCTCTTTTTCGACGACTGCTAAATTAATACCATACAAAATTGATCGAGGGCAAACCCGTCGGCCTCACTAGCCGATAACAATATTATCATTCCGATTATTATAGATATTCGATAGTCGATAACATTTCAACCGATACGTGACAACATTACTAAACACGGTTTATACTTGAGTTTTTGGTAGTCACAGTAGAGATTTTTTGATGACATCAAATACCATTTTGGATGATATCTATAGGATATATTTTAAACACAAAAATTTCCAAAGTTGTCAATAAAATAATTTATTATAAAGTTATTAATTACTTAATAATTTATATTAATTATAAGTTATAAATAATAACTAATTAGTATATTAGTATATAACCTATAGCCCATACAATATGAATTAAGACAGTCATACAATTATAATAGGCACTAAAATAGTTTAAAAACAACGGACTTAAGTGTATTGTGAAATATGTAGGTAAGCTGTTATTATTGTTATTGTTATATATTTTATAAATGTCAAAAATATGTAATTTTTATTAGCAATAAGCTTATATGACAATTTCAGGGAAACTTTAATTAATAATAAATAAAAAAAAGTACGATAAAAGGGAAAACATTATGAAAAATATTATATTATAACATTAATTTTTTTTTTTGCTTTATGAAACGTACCTATTTTGTACACGAGTAGTGGACAAACATTTTATGGTGTACACAATCTGTCATCTATACCACATCAATCCGCTCATACAAACTGTAAATACTATTATAACTAATTAACTACTCGTTTGAAACAGGACATTTCAAAATTCCCATGAAAAATATTCAGCTTCGAGATATGCAATAAATTTAAAATGCTGTCATTCGACAGATTAGAAATTTGAAAAATGATTACTTACCTGCGATAAAAAAACATTGAAACATGATTTTCTTCAAAGATGTTTTATAATGAATTAAAATTACTTATGTGAATAAAAAAAAAAAAAAAATGTTTTTTCAAAATCATTAATACTTTTCAAGACGATGTTTGCTTACAGCAAAAATAATCACCCAGTGTCTATATAATAAAAAGTAGGCATGCATTTTACACGTAATAATTTGTTAAGTATTATCACCACGCATGAGATTTGCAATATTTCAGATATTATTTTGTCAAAAATAATTTGTCATTGCTTTAATATTATATCACTTTTCTACTGTTCTACTTAATGTTTTGTATGATGTTATAGAAAAGTGATCCTCGTAAAACAATACATCAGAGTAACTCGAGTTTCATCCAAACTTTTATTTTCTTACGGCGAACATTATTATACGGTATTACAAATACAACTCATGTATTATGCGTTTGTTTTAATTTTATTTGCCTCGAGGTTGTAATAAAAATGATTGAACGCTGATACAAGGTTTTGTGGTTCAACAAATTATTAACAGTTTATTGAAATATATTGTGTTATTTATTTGTACAATATTTTCTTTTTGTTTTTTTTATTCAAATCGTTTAACACGATGTACATTTAAAAATACATGTAACAAGGAATAATGTTTCTATAATTTTATTATATTCGGACTCACGGTTTGTTTGAATGTTACTTAATGTGATAGTAGTTGGCTGGTTGCAATATACGGTGTCCGGTCTGTTCACGGCGACGAGTCTGTAGGTACTATTGACGATGGTGAACTGTGTATCGGCGGCGTTTCGACAGCGGTGACACTTATGCGGGTATCCAAATAGGTGTGCGGCGGCCACGTTATTTAATGCTGCGATTTCGTGTTGGTACCTACTTACGACGGTGCGTAATATTATATAATGATCGTTAATCTGATACAGCGGTATTCAATACAGACGGCAACGTTTTGGCGGCGACGGTCTCGTATAACGGCGGTATCTTAATATTTGTAATTGTACTGTGTGGGTGTGTGGATACTAGGTCGGGCGGCGGCGGCGATGGCTCGGCGTCCACGACGGTAACGGCGATTTACGGGGGGGTACTCACAGTTGCACTGTGTGGACCTATTAATTTAGGCCCCAGGTACAAGTGTGGGTGTGCGGATACTAGGTCGGGCGGCGGCGGCGATGGCTCGGCGTCCACGACGGTAACGGCGATTTACGGGGGGATACTCACAGTTGCACTGTGTGGACCTATTAATTTAGGCCCCAGGTACAAGTGTGGGTGTGCGGATACTAGGTCGGGCGGCGGCGGCGATGGCTCGGCGTCCACGACGGTAACGGCGATTTACGGGGGGATACTCACAGTTGCACTGTGTGGACCTATTAATTTAGGCCCCAGGTACAAGTGTGGGTGTGCGGATACTAGGTCGGGCGGCGGCGGCGATGGCTCGGCGTCCACGACGGTAACGGCGATTTACGGGGGGATACTCACAGTTGCACTGTGTGGACCTATTAATTTAGGCCCCAGGTACAAGTGTGGGTGTGCGGATACTAGGTCGGGCGGCGGCGGCGATGGCTCGGCGTCCACGACGGTAACGGCGATTTACGGGGGGGAAACTAACGACGAGTCTATTCTGTATGCTGTTTGGACCTGAAGAGGCCCCAGATACAGAAGAGAGTTTTAACGGTACACTATGACGGACGGGACAACGGCGGACTATAGTGTCGTAAAGGCGAAGCGAAACTCGATACCCGTTTGCGCTGTTTGTACCCAAGGTGGGCACCAGACACAACGACGGGTAGACGGCGGCGGTATAATGCTGTTTGAACTCGAGATGAGCTCCAGACACAATACGAAAAGCGTATGCGGTCGGACGGATGACTGTTGTTTTTGGTGACTTCACCGGGGTCTATTTACTACATACCCTGGTGACTGCTGCATGGTATATTGTTGACTTACTCATACAACCTCATGGTGGTATTTGTCGGTAGGTTTTGATTTTTATGGTATCGTTCGGGCTGTGCTCGACTCCTACCATGTGACGGTACATGTTATACTACTTACATTGGTGTTAGTTAGTAGTTTTAAAGGTTTAAATGTCGCTGGTACGCACCGTACTAAAAGGACTGCGCGTACCGCGACATCTAGTGCGTTTTTCAGGCATGCAGTTTTGAACAGAATACTACATTTTAGTTCTTACTTTGTCGACGGGTAGCGCGTCGTTCATGAATATCATGATATGGACGGTTCTGTCTCGTTACATAGTCCCCTTTTTTATTTATTAATTTTGAGAGGAAATGTAGAAATTTATGAATAAAAACTTTTATTTTGTAAAGAGACAGAGGTGATTTTTTCTTAAATTTTGATTGAATAAAACCAGGTTTATTAGTGGCTGATGATGACGCTCCATTGCCAGGACGACGTTGCCGTCGTATTTCTTGTCGCGCTAATCGGTACTGTTCACGCTTCAGTTTCTTGTTACTTATTTTGGTGACATGTTCGACGGGCGGAGTTTCGATTGACGAGAGAGATGTGGTTGTGGATAGAACGTCTAACGTAGTTGGTATAGCACGGACGGTGCTTGGCATTGTGAACGTAGGTGTTAGTGAATACCTCGTCAGTTTAGCAGCACTTTCCCGTTCATATCGTGCTTGTTCCTTTTTTTGTTCGACGGGTGATTTGATTGCTGCCATTTGCTGTATGGAAGCTTGATATTCGCTGTCCAGAGTTAAATACTCACTGCCAAATAACTCGAGGAATTCTTCATCAGTATAGTCTTCGGACAGGAGCTGGAATGTGTTAGCGCTCATGATTTCTCCGGCTGGTGATGGGCCTAATTGGAAAAGTCATGGTCACCACAAATACTTAATTTTATTTAATTAGGAAAAGAGAGGAATGGATCGCAGGATTTTCCTGGATCAGGAGGGAAACACAAGTCTTCGTCTTTCCTTGGCAATGAGTGATACGGTTTGATGTTTTTGACGTTGTATCGCATTGTTTGTCCCCTTGAATCTTCTACGAGTACTGTATTGTTGTCCCTTATCTGTACCAGGGTGTAGGGTCCCCGGTATAGTAAGAAGAATTTATGAATTTCATTATCTTCACCTGATGATAATTTGTGTTCTTTGACTAGCACTTGCTGGCCAACTTGGTATTGGATGAACTTCTTTGCCTGATCTTTGACGCGGTTCCTTGCGTCGGCTCTAGTTCTTAATTTTTTCCTGACTACTTCAATGATTCCTTCGTGATTGATTTCTTCTTCATGGTCCGGAAACAATATTTGTGGAGCTATTGTTGTGTTAGGTTCCTCACCGTATAACACTTGGTGTGGCGTATATCCGGTGGAATCGTGATGTGAATGGTTGATCCAATACTCGATATTTGATAACCATTTTACCCAATTGGTATGCTTTGAATGACAATAGGTGCGTAGCATCCGACCTATTTCGCGATTCGCACGTTCTACCGGGTTGCTTTCTGGATGGTAGGTCGTGGTATGTAGAATTCGGATTCCCAGAGCGGTCAGTTGCTTGAACCATTGTTTGCTGTGGAATTGGGTTCCGTTATCTGTGAGTAGTTGATCGATTGGTCCTATCTTGGGTATATACTCGTGGACGATTTTCCTCAAGATAGTATCGGCGTTGGCTTTTTTGATTGGGTACAACTGTATGAACTTGGAAAATACATCTAGCACGGCAAGTATGTATTTTGCACCTCGCTGTCCCCTTGGTAGTGGTCCCATGAGGTCCAAGGATACTAGCTGCAGCGGTTTGTCCGGCAGTATGCTAATAGTTGGTCCCCTTGCCACTTGATTATCATATTTTGACTTTTGACATATATCGCATGTTTTGACTATTCGTTTAATAGTCCTATACATGTTGACCATTTTATACTGAAGTTTGAGGATTTGATAGACCTTGGATGTACCCATGTGTCCGTACCTCTCGTGTGTCTCTTGGACAATGGCTTGGTTCATCGACTGTGGTATCATTACTTGGTATCTACCATGTTTGTTTTTTGTAAAGAGCAGTTCTTTGAATATGAAGAAGTGTTGGTTTTTTTTGCTTGCTATTTGTAGGAAAATTTTCTTCAATTTCTCGTCCCCTTGTTGGAGTTCACGTAGACGGTCGAACTGTTCCATTAGTGTTGGGCTGTAGTCCATGAGGGTGAGTTTGTTTATAGTGATTTGCAGTTTGTTCCTCCCCAAGTGGTCATCTGGTTTTTGCGGGTATCTGGTGAGTGTATCTGCACCGATATTGTCTTTCCCTGGTATGTGTTCAATTATTAACTGGTATTCCTGCAACTTTATAGTCCACCTAGTTAATCGTGCGTTGAGCAGTTGACAACTATTTAAAAATGTCAGTGCCTGGTGATCAGTAAGTAGGTGCGTTTCATGGCCTAGGATGTAGTTTCTAAATTTTTTACATGCGAAGACGATGGCGAGTAATTCTAATTCAGTGGTGCCATAATTCCGTTCAGCCGTGTTCAGCGTGCGACTGATAAAACTGAGGGTTTGATGGTGTCCTTCTTCGGTTTTCTGAAATAGTTCGGCGCCGATGTAGGTGTTGGACGCGTCTGTACTGATGTAGAATTTTTTGTTAAAGTCTGGGTAGTGAACAATGATGTCTTCGAGAAATTGTGCTTTGATTTCTTCGAATGCTTGTTGTTGTGTAGTGCCCCATTGCCATGATGTTCCTTTTTTGATGAGCGCACTGAGTACTGATGTTTTTTCCGATAAGTCACGAATAAACTTTCGGTAGAAATTGATAAATCCAAGAAAAGCTTGTATTTGTTTCTTATTCTGTGGTGGTTGAAAATTTTGTATAGTTTGTATTTTTTCCGGATCCATGGTGATTCCTTTTTCTGATATCACGTGTCCGAGGAAAATGATTTTTTTGCGGAGGAAATGAGATTTTCGTATGTTGATTTTCACATTGTACTCGGTAAATTTGGTAAATATGGCTTCTAGGTGGTCCATATGTTCAATGAAACTGTTTGAGGTAATATGCAGATCATCGACGTAGATGGCTACAAATTTTAAAATGTCGGGTCCTAACACTTGATCGAGTATTTTTTGAAATTCAGCAACGGAATTTACAAGACCAAATGGTAAGACTTTATATTGGTAATTTCTGCCCTTATGAAGAAATGCAGTAATTTCACGGCATTCTTTCTTCAATGAATATTGCCAGTATCCGGCGGTGAGGTCGATAGAACTGAGGTACTTGACTCCCTTAAATTTGTTCATTATATCATCTATGTTCATGGGTCGCTCGCGGTCAGGTACGATGCGGGTATTGATTTTTCGGGCGTCAAGACATACTCGTACATCGCCATTTTTCTTTTCTACTCCGACCATAGGTGATGACCACGGCGAATTTGAGCGTTCGATGATATCCAAATCCAACATGCGTTGAATTTCTTGGTCTATTTTTATGGCTTTAGACACAGGAACTGGATAAGGTTTTTGATAGATGGGTGTGCCGGGGGTGACCCTGCTTTGACACTCTAAGTTTTTTATTTTTCCTGGACAGTCGGAAAATACCTGGTGATATTTTTCCATCAGTGTGTTGAATTTTTCTTGCTCGTCTTGACTAACGATAATTGAGTTGTCTTCATCATTTCGTTCTGATAGCGTAATTTCCCTTATGCTGACACTCTGTGATATTGGTTTGGGCATTTGTTTTGAAAATGGTACTGAGTAGATTATGTGACCTACTTCTAGTTGTACGGTATGACTGCTGAAGTTGATCTGGGCGTTGTGTTGGTTCAATATATCTGCTCCAATGATCCCTTTTTCATTCAGTCCTTCCACTTGAATAAAGTTAGCGTGTATTACCGCTTGGCTGAGTTGACATTTACAAAATATTTGTTTTGATATTTTGCATATCTGTTTTCCTATGGCATTACTGATTCTTATACCATTTATTGGAAGTTGTGGAATAGTGGGATCCTTTTTTATGATGGTGTCCACTATTTCCTTGGTCAATACGCTGATTGTGGCTCCGGTGTCTACTAATAGTTCCACCTCCTCACCTTCAATAACACATTTTATGTATGGGCTGTAAGATTCCTCCTTACTCTGTATTTTGTTGATTTGATGCGAAGTTTCGCTGACGTCATTGGTGGCACTGGACACGACTTGATTGATTTGTTGTCGGGTGTCACGTGGTTGTTGTGGTTGTTGTGATTGTTGTGATTGTTGTGATTGTTGTGGTTGTTGTGGATTTTCATCGCGATTGTTCCAACGGTTGTTTCGTGGCTGATTGTTGCCCCGCTGTTGTGGTCGGTGACTCCAGTCATTTTGTGGAACTCGGTGACTCCAGGTGTTGTTATTTTGATTGTTGTTGTTTTTCACAGTGTTATTTTCTGTTGTTGATGATGTCGGCTTATCCCGACGGCTTTCTTCAGTACCTAGTACCTTCATTGCATTTATTACTGATTTGTCTGGTAAAGATACTAGTATTGCTCGGAGATAACCAGGATAATGGTTGGCAATGTTACTTACAATCTCTTCCTCTGAAAGTTCAGGTACTTGCAAGTGACGTAACTTTGATGCCCACTGCGAGAAATGTTCCCGGTATGTGACATTGTCCGGTATCTGTGTGGTGTTGAGACAATTACTCCATGTTTGGATTTGTATTTGCCTTGACCAAAACTCGTCGATAAATGCATCTCGGAAATCTGCATAATCCCGTATTTGAAATTTGATTGTTGAGTACCAATTACTGGCTGCATTTTTCAAACAGTCGCGTATAATAATCAACCTTTCTTCTCGGTTCATTTGTTTCACTTTAAAATATTCTTCCAAATTTTGTAAAAACTCTATGGGGTGCGGGTCTTTACTGTTGGCGTGGAATGTCGGTTTTGATATTTCGATATTTGAATTTCTTCGATCGTCGTTGATTACCTGTGTACTTTGTTTTTGATCGATGAACATTTTTCTTAAGTTTTCTATGTTATTGAGATTTTGTTGTTCTAAATTTCGCATATCTCTGAAATGGTCTTCATTATTTTTTTCAATATCAGTTTTGTATTGTTCTTCAATATTATTACATTTTTCTTCGAGTTTATTAATTTTTTCTAATAACTGATTGACTAAATATTGACTGTTGTGTTCTACTTCGCGTTGGAAAGTTCGGAACGTTTCTTCGGTGATGTTTTTCCTCGGCGGCATTTTTTTTTTTTTTACAGATGTAGTTTTCTTCTCTTTTTACCGACGTAGAAAATTTTCACTTGTAAGTCTTGGGGTTCGAGGTAGAATTTTCTTCTTTATCGAGCCCCACGTTGGGCGCCATTGTAATAAAAATGATTGAACGCTGATACAAGGTTTTGTGGTTCAACAAATTATTAACAGTTTATTGAAATATATTGTGTTATTTATTTGTACAATATTTTCTTTTTGTTTTTTTTATTCAAATCGTTTAACACGATGTACATTTAAAAATACATGTAACAAGGAATAATGTTTCTATAATTTTATTATATTCGGACTCACGGTTTGTTTGAATGTTACTTAATGTGATAGTAGTTGGCTGGTTGCAATATACGGTGTCCGGTCTGTTCACGGCGACGAGTCTGTAGGTACTATTGACGATGGTGAACTGTGTATCGGCGGCGTTTCGACAGCGGTGACACTTATGCGGGTATCCAAATAGGTGTGCGGCGGCCACGTTATTTAATGCTGCGATTTCGTGTTGGTACCTACTTACGACGGTGCGTAATATTATATAATGATCGTTAATCTGATACAGCGGTATTCAATACAGACGGCAACGTTTTGGCGGCGACGGTCTCGTATAACGGCGGT